ACTGTCACATCGTGGTGGAATGTTTGATTACTCTACAGGACCAGAATCTTCTCAAACAACCTAATTACTTAAGCAATAACTCATGATAACTCAATAACTTATAAAATATAACTCATCAAAGTAGTAAAAATTACCTTCATAAAAACTGGAAATTAAAAGGGTGGTTTTATGAGATTACTAGCAAGCAGCAACGACTCTTGTATCGGTCTTGTAGAGTAGGTTTTCCCCTCTAACCCCATTGGCGGATCCAGAGGGGGTGGGGGTGGGGGTTCCGGGGGGTTGGAACTCCCCCTTTTTATTTTTTGCTGAGTGGAGAAAGCGAGAGAGAAGGAGGATAAAATGTTTTCTGGAATTGATATTTGTACTTAGAACTAACTTATAAGCGTAGTTCAAAACTGCTTGATCGGTTGCTCATATTTCACTTGCAATATCGATAGAGTCCCAGATATTTACCTTCAATATTCCTCCCTTTCAGCGTTTTTATTTATGAGAGAATGGTAGAAAATATTCTACTTATTTTAATATATAAGTAACATGCGGGCTTTAATTTGATATCAGATTCCCGCGATCTTTGGCTATATGTGTACCGTTTTCGGATCGTCTTTTGAAGGAACAAACTTAAGGTATTCAATGTATAACGACCATATGTTGTATCTAATAGATGAATGGTCCTATATTTGTAATTATGGTATCATTTTGATGGTGTTGTGAAATAAAAATACTCCACCAAATTAAAAAAAAAAATTGATTAATGTCAAATTAATTGGACCTTGAATTTTACATTGAAGTCTATGGACAATGCATATGTTATTAAGATACTGTAAAAGTATTTTGAATTTCATAAAAAGGTCTTGGTGAAAATATGCATACAATCTCTCATTATTAAAATATGAAATAAAATTAATCATTTACCACAGATATTTTGACGAAATTAAAATTTTCTTCTTTGCATCAAGGGCAGATAACTCTTCAAAAACTTTAAAAGTGCAAAATGACCAGCTTCTTATTTGTTATCAGTCATGTGAACTTGGTTCATTTCACTTTCATCGTTATCTAGCAATGCAATTTTAACTAGTTTAAAATGATTCAAAATTGTTCAAAATCCCTTCATTATACATTGAATACCTTAATAAGTCATAAAAGGGAATATGCATAAGGCCACAGTAAATTACATGTAATTCTTTGTTTTACATAGGTTTTCAAAAACCTACCTAAAAAGTTTTTCAAATTCTAAAAAAAAATCTTTGTTTTCTTCAGAAATCCTGCAAATCCATTCAATTTTAAGGCTACAGTAGTTTAAAGAATGTCTTTGTTTTTTATTCGGACTGGGAGGGGGGTTACCTTTTCAAAGAAACAAACCACGACCTAAGATCTCTCTGTGTGTGTGTGTGAGGGTGTGTGTGTGTGTGTGTGAATCTATGTTTGAGTGACTGTGTGTGTGTGGGGGGGGGGGGCACCACCCTGGAACCCCCCTTTCAAAAATTGCTGGATCCGCCTCTGACCCCCCCCCCCGAAAACTGGCTCTTAAGCAGGATTTCCCCCATTGAAAATAGGCTCTAGAGTGGGATTTCTCCCACGAAAAATGACTGTAGAGTAGGATTATCCCCAAAGAAATCCTGTATAAGATTCGATAATCCGACTTTGTGTAATAGTTATAGAGTGCGATTTCCGCCAGAGCCAACCCCCCCCCCCCCCCAATAACATATTTCAAGTCTGTACTTATGTAGGAGTGGGAAGGGTGCGACATATTTTCACAAGTATGCCTTCATTAATTTTCCCACACGTGTGCTTTCGCAGTAGCCAGTCACAAAAATTATAAATAAGAAGTATTTGCCTTCAACACTTTATATTTTCAAAATGGCGACCAGTTCAATTGAAACTTACAAAGTATGAAAATTGAAAATATCAAATCTCATTTTTCTCAGTAACTGTCCTACTAATTCTTTTGAGGCTTTAAGTCTTATTCTTTGCACCTGGTAAAACTAGTTTCTTAAATAATTATAATAATAATAATAATAATAAATATGGTACAATGTAATCGGTAGAACAAATTTTTAACTGTAACCATCATGACCATAGAAACGAAACAAAAAGGAGGAATTCTATTTAAAAGCGATTTTTTTTGTCCTATTGTATTTCAAACTACATGTACATAATATTGATGTGTGTCACTCCAAGTTTCTGGTGTTCAAATTAATCTCGGTGGAGATTCGGCTGGGCTAGATATTTGGACTGACGCCCACCGAATCTCGGGACAGTCCTTCATAATTCATGTCTGGGAATTCAGCCCCAACTTCGGCCGGCTATATCAAGAATTATTCACCTAGGCGACACTGTCGTTCGCTTCAATAAAGTCATTTAGTTGTTTAATTAACTCTCTGTCACTATTATTTTCACATTGCTTGCCGTCTAGGCATGTAAATCCCACCATAAAAACATTCACTAAAATCTCCGTTCAAAATATGGCTCCCCTGACGTAATTGTTTATCTCCTCACACTAAAGAGTTCCTCTATGGTCTGTTTTTATTTCTATGAAAAATACTAAAAAGCCACAGTAGAGGTTCAGTATCACATAAAAGAAAACAGACTGTAGGAACTCTTTAGTGCGAGGAGATAAACAATTACGTCAGGGGAGCCATATTTTGAACGGAGATTTTAGTGAATGTTTTTATGGTGGGATTTACATGCCTAGACGGTAAGCAATGTAAAAATAATAGTGACAGAGAGTTAATTAACCAACTAAATGACTTAATTGAAGCGAACGACAGTGTCGCCTGGGTGAATAATTCTTGATATAGCCGGCCGAAGTTGGGGCTGAATTCCCAGACATGAATTATGAAGGACTGTCCCGAGATTCGGTGGGCGTCAGTCCAAATATCTAGCCCAGCCGAATCTCCACCGAGATTAGTGTTCAAATATACAAAATAGCTGCCGTTGCCATGTAACTAAAATTGAGACATGAATTTGTAAAAATTAAAAATTTTTGCGAAACTCTAAGACAGCATTTGCTCTCTGCTTACAAATTTTAAATCCAATATTAAACTGCTGAGATCGAGGAGAAACACTTATGGTATGGCTTCCAAGAGCAGTTTTCCATGTAATGTTTTGTGTTTGGCTTTGGCCTTTTTTTCTTTCTTCCCTTTGAAGAATTACTCGAATCAAATACTCACAAAATGGTATGTGGAACCTATCAAAAATATATTTTAGAATTTTCTCGCACACTCTTTGTAAAAGCACAAATCCATAGAAAAAATATTTGGCCGGTACAGGGCAAACAAATTCTTAAATCTCCAAGAGTGAACTGATAAACATTTAAATATAATTGAAAAAGCAGGTACTGCTGCACTAAGAGAGGTGTTGGTACATCGAGTCTTTGAGGACTAATTTTACAATTTTCTACAAGTTAAAATTTTGAGTTGAGACTCAAAATGATTTGAAATATATATTTTTAGCTTTCATACTAATTTGAACAATTCTTGAGTCAAAAACACACATATTTCTATTAAGAATTAGTTAGCTCTAACATAAACTTTTACCTAAAATATTGTCGATTTGATCTTAGCAGGAATAAAATAGGCGAAATCCTACTCTGAGAAAGAAAGAGTGCAAATTCCGGGGGGAAAGCTGGCTATGGAGGAAATCCTACTACTCTACAACACCACAGAGCTAGGCTAGATCAGCACGAGTACTATTGACTTGTCTTTCAAGTATCAATAGAAGTCTTTATATTTCAATAGCTACGTTTTCGTAGACCCAACATAATTGTCAACATGTGTAGCCTTACCAATCCAGAGAGAGTTGTTCTACAGATAAATACTTACAGTTCTCTTGACCAAACATAACAGTCAACAAATTCTAGAGAGAGTTGTTCTTCAGATAAATACCTACAGTTCTCTTGACCCAACATAACTGTCGACAAATCCACAGAAAGTTTTCTACAGATAAATACCTACAGTTCTCATGACCTAACATAACTGTCGACAAATTCCAGAGAGAGTTGTTCTACGGATAAAGACTAACAGTTCTCTTGACCAAACATAGTTATCGACAATTTCCAAAGAAAGTTGTTCTAATAAGGACTTACAGTTCCCTTGACCCAACATAACTGTCGTCAAATTCCCGAGAGTTGTTCTAATAAAGTCCTTCAGTACCCTATTCACAACATAAATGTCGACAAATTCCCGAGAGAGTTGTTCTTATAAAGACCTACAGTTCTCTAGACCCAACATAACTGTCCACAAATTCCAGAGAAAGACCTATAGTTCCCTAGACTTAACATAACTATCGACAAATTCTAGAGAGAGTTGTTCAATTAAAGACCTACAGTTCACAAGACCCAAGATAACTGTCGACATATTCCTGAGAGAGTTGTTCTACAGTTAAAGACCTACACAAATTCCAGTAAGACATACATTAGAAGTTTAACATTTAGGGTAACATTTACAAAGTACTCTGATGACGTACAGAGAAAATTCTGAGTGAATAAAGAAAACCTACAGGAGCCTCTTTTATTCCGAACATTTTCTAAAACTCGAGAAATACCTATGACATTATTGCTAGAAATCTGACAGTTTGTCAGTGTCTGATATGAACATCGTGTATATTAGTATTTTATACCTAAATACGGTGTCTACGATTAATCCTATCAAATGTGAATTATTGTCAATAACGATGGTGTTAGCCGTAAAATGTTTGATAAATACCATGAGAATAGTGATTATTTTTGTAATGATATTTCATGCAGAATGAGACAACGTGACAGTCAAAAGGACTGTGTAATCCGATGAAAGAGAGAGAGAGAGAGATTTGAATTGAAGTGCTTTTTTTAAATGCCAACGATCGATATTTATGACTGTACACAGACAATTATTGGCAGAGGAAGGAAAACGGATTTTTTAAGCTGAAATTTTCTTAGATTTAGGCGGTAGAGTTTATTCCAGGTAAATGAATAAAGTCACCGTCACTTCAAAAGCCTTTGAATACTTGAAACTTATACCTACGTCAAAATATTCTATTTTGGTGTCAAACATAATGTGTTTCTCTCCCAGGGCCTCCAACATGGAGGTTAATTTTTGTGGGTTGTCCAGACGGGTGATACATTTTTCAATAGTCCCCATGACTCTAAGTCCGTGCTCCCGTAGTCCCACGTTGTGGCGGAGTTCCTCTGAACTCAGTCCTCGGAGAGGGACAAATAAATCTTGTACATCAGGGAATTTCTCAAACAACCTGAAAGGTTAAAAAAGTGTTAATTCTTATAACGCTAAAAAAAATTCTATAGAATTGAAGTTGTTCGTAGTTCATGGATATGTTGACATCGATTTCTGTCCGAATACTGTACGTGTGATATTTTATTTTAGGAATGACTCTAATTCTTGGCCAAATTATTCGCGTATAACCTGGTTTGGGTCAGTTTACGCTTTATAATCCGCGAAGCGGATTATAAAACAGCGTAAACTGACCCAAACCAGGTTATACGCGAATAATTTGGCCAAGAATTAGAGTCATTCCTTATAATTTAATTTTAAAATCATCAAATAACTATGGGTGTAAAATTTCGTTGCTTTTTATTAGTTCAAATTTGCCGCTCAATAATACAACCGTAGTAACGGAAGTACCGGAAGTGATGGGAAGCGAGGGGAGGTAAAAACTGATACATAGGCCTAGCAGCCTTGTTGTTTGTTTACACGTGGTAAGATCGAATTATTGTTTGGTACATTCATTAAATCTGGAATTTTCCATGAATCCCGAGGACTGGAAATGAGAGGATTGTACGGATACAGATGATTCAGCTGGTTGTCAGGGGGGTGTGTCCCCATACCAAACCAGGTTATACAGAAATAATTTGTGTTCCTTTTTGGATATTAACCAATCAGAGGTTAGAATACAAACAAAATTAAATTATTTTAAATTAACTCAGTACTACTTTGTACGAGGGCTGTTCGATAAATTATGTCCTCAACTCTATGACATACATTATAAAAATCATGTGACATTAACCTTGGCTTTCTCTCATAATTGAATCTTTAATAAACTGATAACCGGTTATGTGACCACGTTTCATCGTATAGTTTCATTGTGAGAAGCTGGAAAACAAGGGCTATCCGAGATACTACATTCAAAGTGAATGGTAAAGAATCAGTAAACAAGAGTGAAGTTAGAAGCTTCATTAAAGCTGCTGTAAAACTTGGTAAAAATTCCAAAGAAATATTAACTGAAATATGTGATGTCTACAGCAACCGATGTTTGTCTTATAGACACATGAGCAGGTAGATTTCAATGATCAGAAATGATAAAATAGGCATCAAAGATGAGTACCGTCCTTGGCGACTAGGACTTATCAACCGATGTAATGTTTTCCAAAATTTAACAAATTATGATTGACTTTAAGACGCATAGCAAATTAGTTAGGCATATTTTTGGGGGTAGTTCACACTATTTTAAAGAAACATTTGACACTGAAAAAGCTTAGTACTTAATGGTTACCCTATGTTTTGACAAATGAGTGAAAACGGAAGCGTGTAAGAATATTATTTTGAAAAATAAAAAATCGTAGTTATCTACGTTTATCTGAAATTCTTACAGGTAATGAAACCTGAATCCATTGCTTTGAACCCCAAAGAAAAATTTACAACAAGATGCACTTGACCAGAAAAAAGCAAAGGTCTGGGAAGAGCAAAGAATTGCCAGAGCACAATGAACGTTTTATATGCCGTTTTCGTCAATAGTAGTGGTCTTGTTGTTCAGATTCTTATTCGGGAAGGCCCTTCAATTTCTGGACAAGTCTAGAAACCACAATTGTTGCAAAAAATCAAAAGGTTTATAAGAGGAAGGAACCAGAATCAGGAATCTGCTAGATTAATTTTCTACACAACAGTAGACTATCCCACAGGTCATGAATAGTTAAGGAGTTTTTTTGGATCAACAGAAAGTTAATGTTTTTGTCACACCAACAATATTCGCCAGATCTTTCACCCTTCGACTTGTTTTTTTTTTAACTTGAAAAAACACCTTTCAGAAAGAAGAAAGAAGTCCAGGAAATCATAGGATCTGCCATATTCCAGTATACGAAAGGGATACTCAAAAATGTGTTTTAAAAACAATTAGGAATTGGATAAAAATGTTACAAACATGTGTTTCAATTAAGGGAGAATATTTAAGGGAAATTATTAGGACAAAAACATTGAAAAGCCTTTTTTGTTTCTTTCCGAACACCGAGGACATAATTTATTGAACAGCCCTCGTATCATACTTTTCTCCAATCATATTTAGGCGGCAATTGAAAATAAAGACACAGAAGCCTCAAAATTAATATGAGCCCTGCTAAAATTAGATCACGTACAACAGCTCCGTGCAGTTTCCTGGATTAAACTTAAAGATCCTGAAAGATGACGTATAAGTTCTAACAATGCAGAAATTTAGCTTTGAGCAGGTTTAGTTGATCTGTCAAATGCATACACACTCATACCCCTGATTTTAGCATAAAATGACATTATAATAAAGTACAATGTAAACCCATAAAATACCTTCCAGAATGTTTTCCTTTAATTTTCGCAAAAAGCCTAAAAAACTCTGGTTTAGCCTGATTATCAATATCTTAATTTATTTCATTAACAATGAAGCGTTTTAATAAGAGAAACGAGATGTTATAACACAATAACTACTGCTTTATTTGCTCTGTCTTTTAGAATCTCTTTACGTCTACTCTAGAGTCGCCGAGTAAGGAGCTGATCCTTACGTCGCGGGTTCGAATCCCACTGTGGGACGTGGAGACAGGTCCTTCGGATGAGACCGTATAAACCGAGGTCCCGTGTCGCAGTAGGTGCTGGCACGAAAAAGATCCCTCACTGCTCAATGGCCTTCAGTGCCGAGTATAGGACAAAATTTGCGGCTCTCCACCGGCAAGTGGTGGCGTCTCCATATGAGTGAAAAATTCTCGAGAGGCACGTTAAACAACATACAAACAAACAAACAAAAAATAGAATCTCTTTTAAGACAAAACTAAAAAAAAAAAATAACAAGATGTGTTTGTGAAATTCCGATGCTCCAATATGGCAACTTATGGCGAAGGTTAAAGTTTCTCAAATACAGTTCAAACTCCAAGGTCAAGAGACCAACAATGTTGTTATCCAAAGAAAGGGTCTAGATCAATGGATACACCTGGTAAATATAAAAGCCCAAACACCATCTGTTCAAAATTTATGGTCAAGGTTAATATTTTCTAAAAGTGGGTCAAACTGCAAGGTCAAAGCGTCAAAATTAATGATATGCAGATGAAGTCCTTGTCATAAGAAATGCACATACAAAATATAAATGCCCCAGTACCAACTGTTCAAAAGTTATATGGCGAATGTAAGCTTTTCAAAAGTAGGTCATGAATATACATGTGGAATATGATAGCCCTAGCACCAACTGTTCAAATGTTATGACCAAGGTTAAAGTTAAGTAAATTTTTGCAAAATTGGGCCAAACTCCAGGGTTCTAGGTCAAGAGGTCAAATATGTTGGTACCCAAAGGAAGGTCTTGTCAAAAGCTAATACACGTGAAATAAGAAAACCATAGCTCTAACTAATCACAAGTTATGGGCAATGTTAAAGTTTTTGCGGACAAACAGAGAGACGGACGGACAGGGCAAAACTATATACCCCCGAATTTCAATTACGGGGACATAAGAAGAAAGAAAGAAAGAAAAACAACTCTGAAAGGAAGCGAGATACTAAAAAATAAAATAAAATCATGCTGAATATCAAATACTTTTAGATAAAACTAGGTAAAAAGAGTATTCTTTACATAATTTTTTGCCCGCAGTGGAATTTTTATTTTCTCTGTTATCTGATTTTGTGTTTTTAGATATATGGTGATGTTTGTATGTTAGATACAACTTTAAAGGTGATATGTTAATCTGGGGCTACAAACCATATCGAATAAAATACCAGAAACTTGATAGAGGATTTTAATGTCGATATAAGCTGTTTTATTGACTGGAAGTTTTTTTTTTTAACTTTTAATAAAAACAGAGGCTCATGGGCGACAAATTCACATGAATAGCAATGGCCCTGCTGTTTTTCGTCATCAGAATTTTTTGGGCTCTTTGTGACCCCAGCCTAGCTCCAAAAGATCATCACTTACCCAACTTTTTGTTTGTTATTCCGCAAAAAAACCATTAACCTTGCCCATAACTTTTGATTGGTTGGAGTTTTGGCTTTCGTATTTCACAGGTGTATTTCTTGTGACAAGACTTTCTTTGGGTACCAACATATTTGACCTCTTGACCTTAGAGTTTCACCCACTATTGCTAAATTTTACCAAACTTTAACCTTGGCAATAACTTTTGAACAGTTGATGCAAGGGCTTTTATACTTCACATATGTATTTCTTTTGAGAATACCTTTCATCGGATATAAATATTTTTGTCCTTTTGACCTTGACTTTGGAGTTTGACCCACTTCTGAAAAACTTACACCTTGGTCATAACTTCTGAACAGTTAGTATTAGGGCTTTCTTATTTCGTAGGTGTATTTCTTGTGACAAGACCTTTCCCTGCATACCAACAATTTTGACCCTTTTTTTTTTTTGGAGTTGATCCACTTTTGAAAAACTCTAACCTTGACCATAACCTTTGAACAGTCGGTGCTAGGGCTCTTATATTTCACATGTGTATTTCTTGTGACAAGACCTTCCCTTGAGTATAAACAATTTTGACCTATGGCCGTGGGGTTTGACCTATTTTTGAAAATCTTTAACCTTGGGCATAACTTTTGAACGGTTGATGCCAGGGCTTTCACATGTATATTTCATTTGACAAGATCTTCCTATGGGTAGCAACAGTTTTGACCATTTGACCTTGACCTCGATATTTGACTTACTTTTGAATTTTTTTAACCTTGACCATAACTTTTCAACGGTAAGTGATAGGGCTTTCATTTTCAAAGATATATTCCTTGAGACACAACCTTTCTTTGGGTACCAACAATTTTGACCTCTTGACCTTGGAGTTTGTTTTGCATTTGAGAAACTTTCATCTTTGCCATAAGCTGTCATACGGGGGCATCAGTTGTTTTCTTAAATATTCCAATGTAAAATTTTATCTCCTACTTCTAGGGCCATGATTTGAACAATTTGAATCTGCACTACCTGAGGATGCTTGTATGTTGATCAAGTAGATAAACATTTGAAAGGGTTCACTTGAAACTCCAAGGGTTCACGAGTACTATATTTACAGTAATTTATCAGTTAACTTGTATAGTGCCAGTAAACACAACTTGTATTAGCTGTTATGAAAGTACAATATTTTTATTACCCTGATTGTTTTGTTGATCGATGTCCATTCCCACTTTATCATTTAAAAATAAATGCTAATGTTTAAAGCTTCATTGACAGCGATATTTTAAAAATTAATGTTAATGTTTAAAGCTTCATTGACAGCGATATTTCAAAAAAAATGATTTGTCAGGATGAAACCAAAACAAATTCCCTTTCGCAATGAGAGCGTATTGTATTCCATTTTATTTCAATATAAGAAGAATATAACAATCATAAATTCAGTATATCTTTCCTTCAGCCCTCCCCTCGACCCATCTCCCCCAAGGGAAAAAAGTTATATCACTATGTTATCTAAAATTTTCTCTGCATTTAGCTTTTTTCTTTTTGAAAATTCATCTCTCATATTTAAAACATAAATCTACATGCATCTACGGCATTGGTTAAAAATAATACAAACAAATCTATATTTCCGTACAAAAAAGAGGGAAAGGGAAATTTGTACCGCTCTTAATAGTTCAATAATCATAATCAGTACAAAGTGAGAGCATGCTCCCTCTTCTTTGTTAACAGTCATTATATACACACGAGGACCAGGCGCGGATCCAGGATTTGAAGTTAGAGGGGGCGCAAAAAGTATGCAGGGGGTCTGGGGGCCGCCTTGAGGTCCCCAGTGGGTCCAGGGCGAAGCCCTGGTGGGGGTCCAGGGGGCGAAGCCCCCGGAAGCTCCTGGATTCTAGAGATTTTGTAGGTAAAAATGAGGTTTACCAAGTAGAAATTTTTACATTTTCTCGCCTAAACTATGATTTACGCTAACTTTGACAATTTTAGGGGGGGGGGCGCGCGCCGGGTGCGCCCCCCCTTAAATCCGCCACTGAGGACAATTCTCGGGTCTCGTTACCGTTTCTTCTTTGTTAACAGTCATTATATACACACGAGGACGATTCTCGGGTCTCCCTCGATCGTTACCGTTTCTTCTATGTTAACAGTCATTATATACACACGAGGACGATTCTCGGGTCTCTCTCGTTACCGTTTCTTAATTAAAAATAAAAGAAGAGCCTTCCGTTGAACTTCTATATTTTCTAGTTTCCTTGGTGTCTTGTAGATCACTAAAGTTCAGTGCGAGAGAAGACTAATTACTCATCATACATTGAGATGATGTTTAGTATCGCATCAGATCACGTGACGTGACCCAAGATATCTGATTCCAATGTATCCGATTTTAAAAGCGTTCAAGTTTTTGTCCCAGTGGCTTTGAACTCGCTGATTAACTTAGTTTATTCTCCCCAAAATAGCAGAGGTTTAAATTCTACAATTTCTGAGTGATAGGCAGAAATTCGTCATAATCCTTTTTTTGTAATTCCAAATACATTGCGAAGCTATTTATGATGTTTTGTCTTAAATTGATGGTTGTTTTTCAGTGTACTGTGCTATCCTGGAAATACTAATTCCAGTGTCTAATTAGAGCGTTGACAAAAGCGGTATTTAATGTAAGCCTACCATGATCGTTCAATGTACTTTCATTTCATGTTTGATTTTCATCTCCCCATGCTAAAAAGGAAGCTACATGTAAATTATACTTGTACATGAGAAAAAGAAAACACTTGCTGGGATCTTCAACTCGACATTTCGATATATCGACGACCTATTATCAATCAACAATAGTTACTTCCATTCATATGTCGACTCGATATATCCCATGAGCTTGAAATAAAAGATACCACAGAGTCCGACACATCTGTTTCATATCTAGATATTTTACCAGAAAAAAACGTTAATGGTAAACTAACAACAAAGCTTTATGATAAACGTGATGACTTCAACTTTTCAATCGTCAACTTCCCTCACTTATGTATCAATATACCCTTATCACCTGCATATGGGGTTTATGTCTCTCAGTTGATTCGAGCAAGCTCTACGTATGAACAAATTCTAAAACGAGGCAAACTATTGACAAACAAGTTGATAAAATAAGGATATCAACAGTCTTGTTTGAAGCTGTCATTTCGCAAGTTTTGTGGTCGATACAATGACCTTGTCAGCAAATACAACCTATCATTGAGTCGAATGCTGACTGATGTTTTTCATACTAATTGTTAGGCCATTATTTATACACTTAACTGTCTACGGATTTTTCCGGTTTCTTCCGATCATGAAAAGGAGCACACGGCGGGTGTGACCGGTCGGCAGTGGATGCTCACTTCTCCATGGCAACTGATCCCACCTGTAAATTTTGAGGTCCGTGTTTTTGCTCTGCTCCAAAGGACAAGATAGGCTAAGACCTCTTTTTGGCCCCTGGTTTGGGGTGTCTTTGAGAATGATACAATAGTTTATCAATTAAAAACCTGTTGTCACCCCTGCCTCAAAATGAGTATTGGTTCCAAGTTACGGGATACACAGAGGTCACAGGAAGGTCAGAAAATATGTCAATTTACGAATTTTCTCATTTTATGCAAATTTTCATTAATTTTACAGCACATTTTGGATCAGAAAACATAGAGCACAAGCTTGCCTGTCTACCAAATTTATATATTTCATACACTAGTATCAGGTGCATCTTATGTATAAAAATCTCAGATAGGCAAGCTTGTGCTCTATGTTTCTCGAAGTGAAAAGTGTCTCAAATTTGACGAAATTCGACCAAAATTGAGGAAATTCGGGAAAATATCCTACTTCTGCACCCTCTTGTGGCCTCCGTGTAAGCTTTGAATCAAAATTAGTGCTGGTTTTAAAACAAGCATTATTTTAAGTTCTTAACTACAAACTATCACAATTTTAACTGTGTTCTGATTTTTACATCAAATAAGGGGCCAGATTCGGCCGTTACCATACCTTGTCCTTTGTATCGTTTCATTGGACTTTCGAAATTGAATACTGTTCGTTATCTTCTTATTTCATCTATATATATTGTTCTTAATTCATATCAGTCACTTTGGAATTTGAAATCCATCGTGGTTCTACATAACATAAATATCAAAATGGATTAGAAAAACGAAGAGCTTACGGTCAGGGATGAAAGTTAAAATACAAATGTTTAACTTAGGATGAGATATTAGTTAAAAAAAAAAATCTCACTTTAGTACCCACATCATCCCCGGATGCACCTTTCCATACAAAGTCTGGTCATTAATGGATTTAATGTAACTTAAGATTGAAAGTACTTAAATTAATTGAGACACTAAAGTAACATTTTTATCTTTGTTCGAAACTATAATTCCCCTTAATTTGTTTGCAATTATAATTATTGTTTTTAAGAAAATGGTGTTTTTTGAAAGATTTTTATTTTACTGCAAGTACAGAACAATTTTTGCTAATTTAATCCACATCCTACATCCATTTTCTACCACCACTAAATAAAAATTTTCAAGTTGTTAATTGATGAATTGAACAAGGATGACATTAATAACGTAAGCACATTATAGATTAGTACGTATATCCCTACTGCTCAAGCTAGGCAGAATTTTAATTATCTTTGAATTAGTTCTAAAGTTATCATGGTTTAACATTTGCCTTAATTACTTAACATTAAGTAGAATTCAAATGATCGCCTAGTTTAATTTATAATTTTTTGATTGATGTAAAAATAGCATGTGATTGCGAGCATCTGTGTTGTATAAAAACTGTAGATCTAGGCTTCAACGCTGTCAGGCAGTCGAGTTTGATCTCCAGAAAAAAATTCATTGCCAACTGAACTGTGTACATAGCGAACAGTTAGTATTAAGACAAGTGATTTCCAAACAGTTCCAGCCTCTGTAGAAATTAACAGTACTGATTGTTTCTTACTTCTTATCTTCTGAAAACACACACATTCCTGTCAGTAATTTATTGATGAACGCTCTAATATCGTTATAAGTAATGCTTATAAATAACACAGATTTCTACTGCAGAGAGACGATAAAGAACATTACTACTAGAATCCCCCATATCCAGTTTTAGAACTTTATCTGTTCTTTTTGTTTCAACATGTCAATAAATAATGCTAAAACCTGTGAAAATAGAAGGCACATACATTTGCCCCAAAAAATGTTTAAATGCCATATAGGAAACTTTATTCCAGTGGCTCATAAATTTTAAGTCACTTGAAATTTCCAGTCTCCACGCTTTCATATCAAACTGTCCTTGAGTTTTTTTTAAAACTAGACTATAAACAAATTATGAAAAACTTAGAATAAATACCCCCCCCCCCCAATAAAATAAGATAATAAATAAATAATAATGATAATATTAGCAAACCTGAGAAATGTTATGACTCCGACTTTAGAAATATCCTCCCGGACCACTTCCCAGGTGGATTTAACAAGCTGTTTCTGCTCCTCCGTAAACTCCGCTTCAGTTATTCCGTTAACTTTATACTTCAACTCGATTTCCATCGTGTCGTTTTTCCGGGAATCGATGGGAGGCTTTTCGCGGGAAAGCAAACAGCCCATTGTAAATGTCTGTTCATTATACTGAAGGCTAATCATAAAAGAGTAATTAGGTATCTCCTCCCTCCGTCCTTTGATCACATTTGTATACTATGTTGCACTTAATTATTCAAGGACACATACGGTAAAAAGAATGGTCAGTGTTCGCGAGGTATTTGGCGCACTCCGTACAGCTACTATTCTACCGCGAGGAGTCGACTTGAGCGCCTAACAATCTGATATCGTAATATCGGGAGGGATAAACGTTTTATTGTGAGTGTGATAATAGACAATTTTCCAATAACAGGCGTATTTGACTGTAAAACTATTTATAGTTCATATTAAAATACAGCCATAATGTGCATAATTGAAGTATTGTGGGGGCTGAAGAGGGTGTCCATATACATATAAGAAACGTAACACTCTAAAGGTCCCTAGAATTCAAGTACATCTACCTACATTATTTAATTATTAAGTCGTAATTGATCCTTAGATTTAGACGATTGTACAAATGTTCTTTACAACATTTGATCTGGCACAAATGGCCGATACATAAAGATGATATATGGGACAGCGCATTGATAGGCTGATGTCGCTGATATATCTGCCTACTATGGCGGAGTAAAATGAATTTACATATGTCGATTGCACATAGTGTTTTTCGATAACTTTGAAAAGTTATAGACTGAACGGGACATTTCTCAGATAACGTAAATTGTTCTCAAGACTAAGAGTACATGTAATACTTTATAGTAAATTAGTTAGATAATTGTAACAAGACATGTCATCTAGCACCAAACAGAAATTTATAAATTATACAACAAATTAAAAACAGTTATCAGAAAAAGTCACTTGATTACTATAACTATAATTTAAGGAAAAAACATCAATATTGAAATATGCCGAGGCTTAAATGGTATGTTATTCAAAAATAATATTTTTTGAATAAATAGCAACAAGAGAAACAGGGCGAACTGGAATCAACATAATAATTAGTTTGGTACTCAGAAAGTAGATCTATTTGTCTCTGTCACCAAACTCAACAATACAAAAACTACATAGGGTATTTCTAAGATTCAGGGAATGCACTAATCAAACGATTCAATTCCTTTCCTTTCAAAGATAACATAAAACTGAAAATGGTTTTGAACGTGGAATTTTATCTTCTTTCATATGAAATATGGGGATAACGAACAGTATTCAAGCTCAAAATCCAGTAAAACAATACAAATGGGGAGCAAAGCAAACACAGACCTCCAAAAACATCAAAGGTGGAATCAGGTGCCATGGAGGAGTGAGCATCCCTGCCGACCGGCCACACCCATCGTGTGCTCCTTGTCATGATAGGGGAAAACTTTAAATTCCATAGACAATTCAGTGTGTAAATAATGGCCTAATGATTACTGTGAAAAGCGTCAGTCAGCATTTGACTTAATGATAGGTTGTATTTGCTGACAAGGTCATTGTATCGACCGAAAAACTTGCGAAATGATGATTTCAAACAAAACTGTTGATATCCTTGTTTCATCAGTTAGTTTGTCAATAGCTCGCCTCGTTTTAGAAATTGTTCATACGTAGAATATGCTCTTGCGTTTCGAATCAGCTGGGAGACAAAAACCCCATATGCAGATGATAAGGGTATATTGCTACATAAGTAAGGGAAGCTGACGATTGAAAAATTGAAGTCATCACAGGTTTATCATAAAGCTTTTTTGTTAGGTTACCATTAAAGTCTTTTTTTCTAGTAAAATATCCAAATATGAAACAGATGTGTCAGACTCTGATAATACGTCGTCGATATATCGAAACGTCGAGTTGAAGGCCACAGCAAGTGTCTTCTTCGTCTCATGACCGTTCACAGTAGCTCAGTCGGTATATTTACGAATTCCATTTTTATTGAAAAAGCAGCTGTCTATGATGTCAAAAAGCCTGGACTTTAATTTGTCGTGGGGAATGGTTGTATAAAGTGTTGAAAAGTCGTAGTTGTGAAGTTTCTCCTTCACTACTGTAAATATATGAGTGAGGACGAAAGAATGAGGCTTATTAGAACATTAAATGGATTTTGTTTGTAAGGATTTTTATGGAGTTTTAGAATCCAGTATAGGTATGGTATTTCAAATTTATTTTGATCGTGAGAATATTAAAATATTTAAAAGTCTAAGGGATGTTATCGAGAAAACTCGTATATCCCTGTTGCAGTACAATCTAGTCCAAGGGGCGCTGTCAGGAAAACTCATGTATCGCTATTGCGGTACAACCTAGTGAAATGGGGTGTTGTCAGGAAAACTTATATATCCTAATGCGGTATAACCGTGTCCAAGGAACATTATTAGGAATAGAACTAATTTCCTCGTTTCACTGAAGCCTGTACATACATTTTATAAACTTTTCTGTGAAAGAATTTCTTTGACGATGTTAATTTAAGTCATAAAAATTAAATATAAAAAAATGCAGCTAACATTTATGGGTATAAAAGTAATGTGAAACTGTCCATGGTATAGTAAGCAGTAAATGCAGCAAATTAAGATTAAGGCCCCGGTAATTACATAATTGTACAATGTCCCCAATGGATACCATCTTAAGTTTTCCTCGTCAATTAACGATGTCTGACTCAAAAAAATCTGTATCTCAGTATCGGTAACAGCAACTCCATAATCAAGTTAATACAATGCTAGTATACATCATACTTCAATAACAAATATAATCACAATAACATAGTGAGGAATGTCTGTATTATCAGCCAACCACTGAGAAGTAGATTTAGTGCATATGCACGATAAAATTAGTACTTCGTGTACAGAGTCTTCATCCTAAGAAAGTGTAAATTAATTCACTCTCTCTAGTTGTTTAACACATGAATTTTATCAGCTACATTTTTTCTCAGTATCTGTAAATAAAATTCATATTTATAAATAACTCAATGAAAATATGAAAGCCTGCATGCATTTCAAACATGAAAATTAAAAATATAATTTTGACATCTTGCTATTTCACTAATCATGTGCTCCTTAATTAGAGTTTTATATTCTTATGAAAAAGAATTTATTCAAAACACTTGCCATGGCCTTCAACTTAACATTCAGATATATCGACGACATTTTATCAATTAACAGTACTTACTTTCATTCTTTTGTTGACTTGATATGTCCCAGTGAACTGGAAATAAGACACCTCAGAGTCTGCCACATCTATTTCATATTTGTATGTTTTACTGACAATATAAAGACGATAAGGGCCAATAAAAAACTAAACTGCATGACAAATGAAATGACTTTAACTTTCCTTATTTATATTGTAATATTTCGCTGTCACCTGTATATGGTGTTTGTCTCCAATCTTATTTGATACTTAAGAGCATGCTCTGAGTACAACCAATTTTTAAATCGACACAGGCTACTGACAGATAAGTGGATGTTACAGAGATTTCAACATCCTGGTTTAAAGTAAGAATTTAGTAAATTCTATGGTCGTTATAATTATCTTGTTAGAAAATATAACCTATCATTGACTCGTATTTTATTTAACATATTTCATACTAATTGTTAGGCCTCTGTTTTCGTACTTAATTTTACTATCAGATATTCCGTCTACCCGATCAATATAGGGCTCTCGGTGGATGTGACCGGTCGACAGGGAATGTTCAGTCCTCGTATATTTGTATTGTTTGTAGTGGTTTTGTTTTGTTTTGTTTTATAGATCAATCACTGTTCGTTTTCTTCACCTTTTTCATTCGATATCTGTCGTCCAACAACAATAAAATCCTAGTTCTTGTTCTTATGAAAAAAAAATACATATTGCGACTTGGGGTTTCTGAATTTTAAATGGACATCTATATTTTTGGTCCCACTTTGATACATAAGCAAAGAAATTATCTTAAAGCTAAATCTCATGAACCTTGTGACCTTGACCTTTCGTTGTGTGTTTAGTTCCTCCATCCTCTTGTAATAGAAAAATACTTCCTAACAATAAACGCAGATGCGATCATGATGAATGTTTCCACGGGTTAGTCAAAAGGAAGCATCTTCAAACCGTTGTCGATGTTTGTTACACCCAGTCTCTCCCCACTTGCTCCCTTTTAAAAATCAGTTGATGAAGAATAGCACGACCAAGCCGACTCATGTGAGGCCTTTAATACTAGTGGTAATTATGGCGTAGAATGTCTCTAATGATGGAAAAGAAGGTTATTGAAACAAGATAAATTAAGGATATACGATCCTCAGCCAGGAAGGATAACTCCTAAATTTATTATTTTATTCAAAAAGTCCCAAAATGAAGCTTGAAATTGAGATCTTTTCGTGCAACAATTTTCATTTTATGCATCTTAATAGGATTCAAGGTTCTTTGAAGTCTTAGAAACTGTCTTGTAAAAAGTTGACATTTGCACCCCATAAAAGAAAAAAAATGAATTAATTGAGAAATCAAATTACCTTTAGTCTAGTATTAGCTATCACTGCTTATTAGCATGATATGAAATTAGATGTCATATGTGATGTCTAGCAATGATAACACAAGCTTTTTACATTATGTATTTTATGACAAGTATAGTTAAAAGAAGAACTAAATATACCGTACAAGCATAAAAAAGATGCAATTTTCTCCAAATGCCTGGATACCTATATTTTTCTATCCTAAATTATATTTGTTGATCAATTTTTAATTAGAAAATGCATAGCTGGTGTTTTTATTTGCATTTCCTGAAAATATATTTGAGATTTGATAATTTTCCCTATATAATATGATTAACTATAGTGATAAACTTTAAAGAAATTCCATGGGTAAATTCACGTTATTATGTGAAATCAGAGACGAATTTGTGAGCATTTTCACGAAGCACCTTAACAAATAAGTAAATAGAGAAATTTAACCAATCTTTTATTTTATAAACACAATAGGACTGGGCAGGTGCTGTCTAAAAAAGTCCTCTCCATACAGTAAATAGCAGAGAGATGGGAGCCGGTGAATGCAATTTTACATGAAAGGAAAGAGCAGAAGTGAACAAAAATAGGGATAAAAACATTTTTAATTAAGTTTAAAACCACAAAAATTGAATAAATACAAAAAAAAAAAAAAAAAAAAAAAAAAAAAAAAAAAAGCAATGTGATAAAGGAAGAGCAGAATCGGTCGTATTGAAGTTATTTAATCACTGAATACGTTGGAATGTCAATGCATATAATGAAAGGACACTATTAGACAGAACAAAATTTAAACCGTGTAATCAACT